CGAGCGGGTGCGTCTTCAGGTCACCGTGAAGGTTGAGACTGGAGCTGAAGGGGAAGTCAGCAGTGTAGGGTTGCGTTGGGTGGAGTCCAAGATGGAGAAAAAAAAACCACCTTCACCTTCCCGGCATGGAGAGAGCAAGGGCTGGTGAAGGCAGTGCAACCAGGGAACCCCGGTGGGGCCAGCTCTGCAGAGGACACGCATGCAGGGCGTAGGAGTTGAGGTTCCCCGAGGAGGGAACCTTCCAGCCTTCCTCTGTCATTGCGTCTTCTCCTTTCCACTGTTTCAGTGAGGCTGGACAAGCTCTCGGAGGTCGCCAAGGTGAACACGGACGCCATCCGCTTGGCTCAGGAGGAGATCTCCGAGTATCGCCGCCAGCTCCAGTCCAAGACCACCGAGCTCGAAGCCCTCAAAGGGACACAGGAGTCACTGGAGAGGCAGAGACAGGACTCGGAGGAGCGCCATCATGCAGATGTCCTGTCCTACCAGGTAATGCAGTGCAGCAGGCAGCATCCAAGACATCATCTGGTGGGGTGGGACCATGCCAGGGAGGAGCAGCGCTGGTGTTTCAGAGATGGTGATGACAAGCAGCAAATACTCAGGGATGTGTCTAGAGCCAGCCTTCCCCAGCTCCTGGTGATCAGCTACCCAGAGCCTGAGGTGGCATCTGGACTGTTGTGTCCCTCACCCACAACATCAGTCACAAATGCCACTGAATCATGCCCAGGGCTTAGGCCATGTCTCATGTCCCAGAGCTGGGAAATGCAGCACACAGAGCTGCACCGAGCGGTGGCCATGGCCTGAAACCCTGTCCCCGGGGCAACGCCCCACCAGCCTCAGGGCTGGGGTTTGGTGGCCACCAGATCCACCCAAGCCCTAGAAATATTTCCACGGCTTGTCCCTACTGGAGGCAGCTCTGGGAGAGGTCTGGGGACTCAGCCAGCAGCAGCACAGCTCTCTGCTGAGGTGGTGTAGGGCTCCCACCAATTCTCCCAAGGAAACTGGACACACCAAACCAGCCCCTGGATGTGTCTCCTTCCCTCTGTGTCTGCAGGGGAAGGTGGCTGCAGACCCCTCTGTGAGAACACCCTGGTGCTGGTAGAGCAGGCCCTCTTGGGGGGCTCTCTAGCCCCCTGCTCCTGGGGACTGCTCCCCACCCCATCCCCGTATCACCAGTCACTCTGTCTTCCCTCAGGAAACCATCCAGCAGCTTGACAACGAGCTGAGGAACACCAAGTGGGAGATGGCAGCTCAGCTCCGGGAGTACCAGGATCTGCTCAACGTCAAAATGGCTCTGGACATTGAAATTGCTGCCTATAGGTACGGCGTGGGCAAGGGGAAGGTGGGAGGGTCTCAGCCAGGCCCTAGCGCTTGTGTCTCTGGGGACACTCCTCGAGGGCCCTGGCTGCCCTTCTGAGTGAGAAAGAGACTGTCCATCCCCCAAGACCACGGTGAGCAATGTCCAGCTGGGTGACCCAATGCTGCATGTGGTTTGTGGAGGGAAGGGTGAGGACACCTGCACATCAAAAACAAGGCAAAGGGGGAGATAAAGCTTCAGGGTACAGCTGGTAGCTCCTGGTCATGGCAGGAGGCAAGAGGTGGGGGAGAAGTCATCACTGACTGCTGTACTCTGGTCTCTTCCTGGCAGAAAGCTCCTGGAAGGAGAGGAATATCGGATCGAGTCTGGCTATGGGATGCTCTCCTTCCCCGAGGTGGGCCCCAAGGCTCCCAGTATCACTGCCAACATCAAAGTGAAGAGCGAGGAGATGATCAAGGTGGTGGAGAAGTCTGAGAAGGAGACAGTGATTGTGGAGGAGCAGACAGAGGAAATCCAAGTGACTGAGGAGGTCACAGAGGAGGAGGAGACTGAGAAAGAGGCTGAAGAGGAGAAAGCTGAAGAGGAGGAGGAAGAAATAGAGGAAAAAGCTGAAGCAGAAGGTGAGGAGGAGTCCAAGTCTCCTGCAAAAGAGGAGGCCAAGTCCCCAGAAAAACCTGAGTCCCCCTCAAAGGAGGGGGCCAAGACCCCAGCTGTCAAGTCTCCTGAAAAGCCACCAACCCCATCAAAGGAGGAGGCCAAGACCCCAGTTGTGAAGTCCCCAGAGAAACCTGCACCCCCCTCAAAAGAGGAGGCCAAGAGCCCGGCTGTCAAATCCCCAGAAAAACCTGCAACTCCTTCAAAAGAGGAGGCCAAGAGCCCGGCTGTCAAATCCCCAGAAAAACCTGCAACTCCCTCAAAAGAGGAGGCCAAGAGCCCGGCTGTCAAATCCCCAGAAAAACCTGCAACTCCCTCAAAGGAGGAGGCCAAGAGTCCAGCTGTCAAGTCTCCAGAGAAACCCCCGACCCCCTCAAAGGAGGAGGCCAAGAGTCCAGCTGTCAAATCCCCTGAAAAGCCCCCAACTCCCACAAAGGAAGAGGCTAAGACCCTTACAGTGAAGTCCCCAGAGAAACCTGCAGCCCCCTCAAAGGAGGAGGCCAAAACCCCAGCTGTCAAATCCCCGGAAAAACCCTCAACCCCCTTGAAAGAAGAGGCCAAGACCCCAGCTGTGAAGTCCCCTGAGAAACCTGCAGCTCCCCCAAAAGAGGAAGCCAAAACCCCAGCTGTCAAATCTCCAGAGAAACCCTCAACCCCCTCCAAAGAAGAGGCCAAGACCCCAGCTGTGAAGTCCCCAGAGAAGCCCCCAACCCCCTCAAAGGAGGAGGCCAAGGCTTCAGCAGTGAAATCCCCCGAGAAAGTGAAATCTCCTGTGAAGGAGGAGGCAAAGTCTCCGCAGAAGGAAGTGGCCCCAGCCAAGGAGCCCACCCCCTCCCCTCCAAAGGAGCCAAAAGCCCCCGTGAAGGAAGAGCAGCCCAAGGAGGTAAAGGCTCCCTCCAAGCCTGGAGCCGAGGAGGGCAGGAAAGAGGAAGCTTCCAAGAACGATGTCCCAGTCAAGGTGGAGGAGAAGCCCAAAGAGAAGACGGCGGCTGTGCCAGAGCCTCCAGCTCCACAGGTGAAAGAGACCACCAAGCCAGGCCCTAAACCTGCAGGAGAAGGAAAGGCTGAGAAGGAGGTGCCACCAAAACCTCAGCAGGAGGTCAGCAAAACAGCTGTGAAGGAGCCTGAGAAGCCAAAGGCTGAGGAGAAGGCGGAGAAGCCAAAGGCTGAGGAGAAGGCAGAAGAGCCCAAAGCAAAACCCAAAGATGAGCCCAAAGCCAGTAAAGAGCCCCCCAAGGCCGAGGCCCCCTCTGGCAAGGAGGGCAAAGCCCCAGAACCCGTGCCTGCTGCCGGGAAGAAGTGAGCAGAGCCCTGGGTGCCAAAGAGCACCTCCAGGCATGGGAGCTGCTCCGCTCCCCTCCGAGGGCTGGGCCCGAGGTGAGGACCTGCTGCCAGGATGGGCTTCCCCTTAGCAATATGTCGTCTGAGCGAGAGACCCAGCGGTTTGGCCGATAGCTTCCCTAGCAGAATGTGATAGACGCCGAGCGCCACATTTAAACACTTGAATTATAACCCGAGGAGAAGAGACACCCCTCTCCGAGCAGGGGTACCTGACTGCCCTTCTCCAATAAGTGCATTTATTTAATGTTATGTGCAATGGATGGATGAGTGCAACGCAGAGC